AGAGAGAGAGAGAGAGAGAGAGAGAGAGAGAGAGAGAGAGAGAGAGAGAGAGAGAGAGAGGCATGATAACGGTGAGCAGTCGTTTTCAACGCGTACTGCAGGTGCTGCGTGCGTGAATTGATCGGGGAAGTAATCGCGTAGTGGATGCCCCCGAATACAACGCAGGGGCGTTGTTATGGTTGTCTGCGAGCCAGAAGTGCCGTGCGTACGTACGTTCACAAAGTCCAGAATGCATTCTATTCGGGAGAAGAGGTTAGGAACATGGATCCGTTCGTTCGTTCATTGTTCCTCTCTCTCTCTCGCGCGCGCGTTCTCCCCCCATCCCCTCCCTCTTCGAACCCTGTCCTCACTGGTTCGTCAATCCCCTCCCCTCCCCTCTCCTCCCCTCTCCTCCCCTCCCGTCCCGCCGTTTAAGCCGTCTTTCGCACCCGTTTGTTTCGTAAACTTAGCATTTTCGGTTTCTGATCACGGAGTTCTTAACGACCTGTCCGAGCTTCTTATGACGTCTTCGCGAAGTGGGGAGCAGTACTGGGTCTCCCCATGTTCTTCGTCATGTTATTTTGTTTTTTTTTTCTTGTGTGTTCCCGCAGCGGCTGTTCGGAAGCACCGGTCACTCTGTCAAAATTTCTTGAGGAGTCGCTTGCTGACTTTTTTCTAAATGCTGTGAATGCTTTTCCAGCGCGATTAGTGACACTCTCACCAAATCTCAGTTCTGGTCCTCCACGTCGCCAGCATGTCACTTTCTGAAATTTTCTTTAGTAACAATGTGCATAGATCAAATTATTGCATGTATTCGTTGTTCATGAATTCTACTTCTACATGAATCCTATTCTTCGTGAGGATGAGGTAGGTACGTTTCTTTTTCTTCTTTTCCGCCTTTCCGTTGCTTTACGTCGAGAGTGCAGTCACTCCGCTGAAGTGTGTTTAATCACTCAGCTGACGTGGCTGGTTTCTGTCCAGATTGGTCCCTGGTTCCATTCCCATGCGTAACCTGGTTTGCTGTCGTCGGCAAGGTTGCAGGGAGCTGTAGCAGGGCTAGACGATTTACCAAGGCTCCCTGCGCTTTTTGTTTTCCTTCAGTTTTTCCTGTCCTCAATGCGCCGGGGCCATGCTAATGTTATCTGCATCTTAGTTTTAACGGATGTCTCGAAGGAACTTCGTGTTCTGGTTCTTGTGCACGTAAGTCTATTTTTACCGCTGGATTGTTGAGTTTGGGCCTTGCTACACTACGCCACTCTACATGCACTTGGACGCTTTCTGGGCCAGGTGCGTTTCGAAGAGTCCAACATTTAGAATGTATCGGGTCCAGAAAGAGTCCAAATGGATGTTAAGTGTTGTGTAATCGAGCGAGGCCCTTCATGTGCGCTTTTGATAACTTGAAGTCGGAACGTTGATAACTTGAAGCCGAAACAGACGAGCCGCGTTTTCTTTTCCATTGGGCGGGTGAATCGACGTCAATATCTTTTGCGTGGTCGAGCGCGTGTTGTTGGTGGAAATTTGAACTGTTCAAAAGGATAGTAACAACCCCTCATTCCTGAACTTAGTGGCCGGTAAACCTACTACAGTAGTTAACGGAAGCGAGGTGGGGGGAAATCGGGACGATCAAGCCTTGTGGTTCTTGGGTTATCGGAAATGTTGAAGGTTCGAAGGTGGCGGTGATCTACTTCTTTTTTCACAGCCCCGCCCTTCCCCACCAGTTGTGACCTACTGTATCATGTATCTTTTATTATATTACATATTACCGAATTATTTCTTGCATTTCTTGATGTGACTTTTTTGTTTTGGTCTCTGGTGCATTGATCGCGAGAGTGCTTCGCAGGCAAGTAAGCGGCACTAAGCTTTCCCGCAACCATCGCTCGTGCGTCATTGCTCGCTCCATCGGCATGGCTACGTCGGCGTGGCTCCATCGCCATGACTCGAACCAGATAGCTGTACTTGGCTTTCCCAGAACCATTGCCCCATTGCCATCGCTCGGTCGATGGCGCCATCGGCATGGCTCGGTCCACCGGTATGGCTCCATCGCCATGGCTCGGTCCATCGACATGGCTCCATCGCCATCGCTCGTCTTCGTCGCTCATCGTCATTGCTTATCGTCATCGATGTACCTTATCATTTTGGCGGTGGTTCGAACGGGGTCGTTCTTGGCAAGTCCGTTAATATCTCTGGAAGTAATCTGCTGGTCAAACGGACTCGTCGCACCGCCGTGTGCTCTGACTGAAGATGGCAACGCACAGGTACAGAGGAAAAAAACGATCAGAAAGGACATGCTCAAATGGTGATTGCTTTGTCGCAAATAGAACGCATAGACGCTGTGGGTGTAATGCTGGAGCGCGTTTTCATGCTATGTTGGCGATGGAACTGTTGGAGGTCTTAGCAGAGGACGATGCCGTACTCCCGGGCCGCTAGGAGGGGAGGGTGCCTGAGCATGTCGTGCAAGGCAATGGAGGTATACTAGGCACAAGACGAAAAACAACAGGAGGAAAATAACTCGTTTTGCAGGAAGAATGAAACGCAACCGGTTGCGGCACGGTGGTCGCATAGAGAAAGGAGGCATAGTCGCACTAGGACTTCTTTTCACTTATTTCTGGACGTAACTGCGGTCAGATTCATCCAGGTCTGTCCTTAAATGCGGTCAGATACATGTAAGGTAGGGCTAGTCTGAGTACGCCCTAAGTATGTCTGTGTCTGCATCTAATGAGGTAGTTGTCAGCTAGGTGGGGGGATTTGCCCGCTCTTTTGTAGTGTAGCAGTTCTCGTTTTCCTTGTTCTACTTTGTCTGAAGGTCAAGGAGCTATTGCGCCCCATGAGCTGTCGTTTGCCGCCGTCCCTTTTGTCTATGGTACCGTTGCGGACTCGATCGCTCGCCGATTTGTAGCTTTAAGGTGTGGAGCGAACCGTGAAACAGTGCCTCAGTTCGGATTGTTCTTTGCAACTCGGAAACATGAATGCAGTTGGAATCGGCTGTCATAGCCGCGGAATCGAGCTATTTTGCCCCATCAGCTGTTTTCCGCCAGCGTCCTTTCAATTAGTCGCGTTGGTGTACTGATCTCTCGCGGGTTTTTTTATTACGTTATTATGGTACTCTTTTCGTCCAAGGAAACGCGGACGCTGGGGAGTTTGAATGGGGTGACCCGCACTTGGGACCCAGCGGACCTCCGGGAATGCCGAAGGTCGGAAAGAAATAGCAGGGAAAGGTACTGGTGGTTTAAGGGCATGAAAGGGAGTGCGCCGGTTTTAACGTCTTTGTGAACATGTCTAAAACAAACCACAACCTTCGGCTGCCTCATGTTTTCGAGTCAACTGAGCTAAAGTCCCTGCAGCCCGAACGGATTTGGCACCTCGTGAATGGTGGCGGCTAGACTGGAAGAGACGAAGAGTTTTCCTATTCGATCCATTCCTTCTTCTACACACTCTATGCTCACACGTGTATGGATGTTTCTATCTCGCACGTGTGTTCATGCTTTTGTGACGTGAAAGTGTATGCTGCTGTTTGGTCTTTTTACTTGCGCACCGCAGACTCTCTCCTTGTGCAAAATGTGCTGCTTATCACCTGCGAAATCCACTGCCAGATCTACTGTGAGATCTGTTTGCGGCGAGATCTGCTGCGAGATCAATCTGCTGAGAAATCTTCTGCAAGATCTTCTGCAAGACTCCAATAGCTGGTTTATTCAGAGAGAGGATGAGAGGAAGTGGGAGTGGTGAGGGATGAGACATACGATTACCTTCAAGGGTGGTTGCAGTGGGGGCAATAGGCTGGAAGGTCAGCAGCTGGGGACTGGGTGTCATTGGGAGTCTTCCCCCTAAGCAAAGCCTCCGGAAATCCGTTCCCCTGACTAGGATGTCCTCAATGGCGAAGCGTCAGATGGCCCCCTACCCGGTCCCTAACCCGAGTGAACTTTCTCGGAAGAGATGAGAAATCTATCGCCTTGTCGCTAAACCTTTGGCGGGATAAGCAGCTGTACAGTAGAAATCACATTCGAACAGTCTTGTCATGAAACTCGTGCACAAATAGACATCACACATCGTCAAGCAAATTTGCGAGTCTCGTAGTAAGATTCGTCGTACAATGCACAACTCTTGAAACAGGTATCGGTTTCACGACGCCGCGTTTCGACACCCGCCCGGTATTCCTCCTCAGGGGGGTTACCCCCCAATCATTGTGAGTCACACCTCGTAAAAGAAGCTCTATGTCTATTCTGTGTGCAGATGGTGCAGCTTTTGACTGTGAACGTCGTTGTTTTTGCCGTTATGGTCGATACCCCTTTAGGCATTTTACTTCGGCGTTCCTGGCCGCAATTTCGACGTTTTCTGAACCGAAATCGTCAGGGCTTAAAGGGTTCCCGCGAGTACGACCTAACGATTTGGATTCACAAAACGCCGACATTTCGGTCAGGAACGTCAAAGTTACATGCCCAAAGGAGAAATTGAGTGTGTTCTTTCTGTCCACGATCTAGGTGGAAAAGGTAACGGTGGGTATGAGTCCAAGCACACATGAGACCGCTCTGTCTTTTGGGCTTATCTGACAGGGAGGAGGTGAACGAGCAGTTCGGGGTACCCCAATGCCTGACTGGAATGGTGCTTCAGGCTGCATCTGCAGGGAATGACGTAAATTTCCAGTATCCTGTAGATGGCATGCGAATACTACGGCTGTTTGCAGATTTGAGTGTCATCTGTGCGTTGTTACATCTATAGAGCATAACTAATAGCTGGGTAGGGTGTGTATTTTCTGAAGAGGGTGATTTGTTGTCGAGTTTACCGAATGTGAAGAGGGTCGGTCAGTTAGTCGCAATCATGACTCTGTATAAAAGAGTATGATCGATGAATCACTTCCGAAAGTTCGCGGACTGGACCGCAGATGAGGAGCTTCCTGAGTCTTGAAATAGCTGTCTGTGGCGTGATGAGTGGAATAAAAACCGGCAGATAAATTACCATCATGTGTCTACCTGTACACGGGGGTAGCATATCGTGGATATGAAATGAATCTGCAAGCAAGGAACCACCTTCGGTCTGTGTGGTTTCCTTTCTTATTGTGGTATTTTATCGACGAAAGTTTTTATCTGTGGTAGTTACTGGCGCTATCTGTTGCTATTTCTTGGACGTTTTTTCTAGTAATGAGTTAGTCATGTCGAATGCAGAAGGTTGCATCAAAGTGCGCCTTATTGCGGCATTTATCGACGAAAGTTTTTCTCTGTGGTAGTTACTGGTGTTGTCGGATTTCCTGCTCTGGCTGGTGTGTTCGGTTGTTGCTATTTGTTGGAGCTTTTATCTAGTAATGACTTGTCATGTTTAATGCAGAAGGTTGCATCAAAGTGTGATCGGTTTTATGGTGCCCGCTGTCCATGATGATGTACACTTGACCAGGTGTGAAGGGAGGCAATCACGAAGGCTCGTTGCATGCCAGGGTTGATGGGCATAGGTGTTAGGAGGATCTGTTGGAGGGAGGGACAGATCCAAGCTCTCGGAGGAACATAGGGATTGGGGAGAAGGGCCTGGTCTTGCTAGAATGGTGTGCTGCTTGTAATCGCGCAACAGTGTTTCGAGTGTCAACACACCACCAACTACCCTGTTGGGCATGATGGAGAAACAGAGCCTATCATGTGCAACCAAACGCATACCACCTGGATCGCCAGTGCAGAAACTGGAGCCGCCAGCATCTTTGACAGCCTGTCGTCAGCTACCGTGGTGGGAACAGGTTTTTGTTGGGGCAATCACGCACGGAGTTAACTCCGTGACTCTGATAACCCTAAATGGCACACTCATGGGTCTTTTCATCATCATGCTTACCTTGGTGCCTGTGGCTGTTGGCTACGGCGGGGGGTTGCTGGTGCTACATGTGCTGCTTCTTATGTTGTGTACTTTTGCTTTGATTTTCCTTGTTAACTGGTTTGTGTCAGAAGTCGGCCTCACGAGTGTCGAAGACCAAACTGCAGAGCTTTGGCCTGATAGAAAGCTGGAGGGGAGCGGCACAGAGATGTAGGCGCAAGTAGGGAATTCTGATTGGGAAACCGTCAGAGCTGGCAAGGGGCTTTGTGGAGGCCCGGTGGAAGCCTGATGTTCATTGCAGCTTCCAGGAAGGCTGTGCTGATGGCACCGATGTCAAGATACTATTTCACATGAGCTAACTATGCGGACCAATTCGTCTAGGTAGGCTTCACACGATCAAACCAGGGTTTGCAAGGAGAAAGGTTGGATAGCGAGTCGTGGGGGGGGGAGGCAGGGTGGGCGGGGGAGGCAGGGGGGGCGGGGGGTCGGAGAGGGAGTTGCATCTATAGGGCAGCGGCTATCAATGGTCAAGGAGAGAGATGGTGAGCGCGGGCCAGCAACTGTGTTTTGGAAGTGGACAAGGTTGAGCCGTGAGGGAGGTGAGGAGGAAGAGTGGTGCAGTGTGGAAGGAGAATGACAGAGACGATGAGCTGTCAGTTCAAAAGGCTACCAGCATTGGGCAGGACATAACGCTGTGCGTTCTGCCGTGTAAAAACGGAGTTAATGGGATGCCATGAGAAGGTATAGCACATCAAGTAGCCAGTGGTGTATTTCAGTGGCCAATTGAAATCTTCCTCCATGTGCGTGTCAGTACTTGTGGCGCATTAATACCTTCGCACTTACTGGGCAACGGACGGGTCTATTACTTTGCAGCTGTCCCTTTTCTAGATCTTCACTCTTTCTGATACTGTCTTCTCGAACACTTGAGTTGACGAGGTAAAGGCACAGGTAATCCGTTGCGATGGAGGAAGGAGAAGGCAAGGCATAAGTGGCACCACAAATGACCCAATTGCAGGGTGTGGTCAAAAGTGACATATGTTGTGCTGCACGATATGCGTAACAAACTTTGGTAGTTCAACAACTCTGAGGAGCCAGCCAATGAGATGATTTGGCACTGCAGTGTGTAAGCTGAGGGAAGTAGAGTTGGGTAAACAGGCTTAGGCTATAATATTATGATTATTCCTGCTTTTATAGTATGATATGGTGTTCACTCTTTTGTTGGCCGAAAGCTGTCCAAATATGATTTCCACATGATTCAATAGGTATTTTTGGTTGCCTCGTTGGAGTGGCGTTCCCTCTTTTCATGGGACTGGAAGCCTTGATGGAGGTGGCTTTGGGTACGCTCTCCTTGTCTCTCCCTCTCTTTGCTTTCATTTCTCTGTTTGGATGGAGGTGAAGAATCTGGTGGAGGCGGCTTTGGGTATGCTCTCCTTGTCTCTCCCTCTCTTTGCCTTCGTTTCTCTCTTTGGGATGGAGGTGAAGAATCTGGTGGTTTTTCATGATGATCTTCAGGCTGTGGGCCGTGCTTGTGCGCATCCTAACCTGTGGTCTGCAACACTCCAGACCGGAGGGTGGTGAACACATCAGCAGGTTTCGAATGCTGGAAGTACGAGGCCGTGTTTTTAACCGAGGGCAGAAAAAGTGGATGAACTTTACGAAGGGCAGGTAGAGGAGGTTTCCTTTTGTTATATCTGTCTGGATTAGCCTTCAAAGGATAGCTGCAGAATGGCCCGCTCACTGGGAATGCACTGTGACCTCTCGCTACGAGGAGTGGATCTTGACATCCCATGCTCTTCATTTTCTGAGACAAACGTGGTACAGTCATGTCAGCAGCGGGTTGTGGTTGAGAGCCTTTCTGCATGTGCTCATGGACGGGAGTGCCCTCGCATCCGCACGGTCTCGTCCAGAAGTTTTCAAGGAAGCGGCAAGGCAGATGCATCACGACAGGGTTTTGGTTATTATTGCAATGGTTCTTTGCCGTTCTGGTCTGCAAGACACTGCAGCGCTCAAAGTGGTGGGTCCATAGCGGTGGCTCTGTGTGCATGGGACGATTCTGGTGCATGCTTGCCGTGTATGCCAGCAGCAGACCTGTGCAAAGACCAGAAATTTCCTTTGTCCACGCGTCGGGCCGTTTGGAAGGTTGTGGCATCTCAGAAGACAGATTTGACCTCCAGAAATGTTGCCCTGGAAGCGGCGGAAGGTGGGGCCTCTGTGGGTAAGCTGGGAAAGGATGGGAGTGGCAGTAATGGGAGCTCCTGTTCCAGTATTGGGTTGATGGCAGGCCAACAACAGGAGCAGAGAAGATTAGGAAGACAATCGGGAAGGCTTATCGACAACGGTTTTGTTTACAGTGAGACCTTTTTCATCAGATGTTACGAGGTGGGGGTGGATCGAACTGCGAGGATTGATACTATTGCCAATCTTTTGCAAGAGGTGGCTGTGAATCATGCTCGATGTGTTGGTTTCACCGATAACGGCTTTGGGACAACACCTGCAATGAGGCAGAAGCGGCTGATATGGGTGACAACAAGGCTTCATGTCGAGATGCTGCATTACCCGGCATGGGGGGATGTTGTGGAGATCCAGACCTGGTTGCAGCAGGAGGGGAAGGTAAATGCAAGGCGCGACTGGGTAATCTCCGATGCGAGAACGGGACAGTTGGTGGGGCGTGCAACCAGTGCTTGGGTAATGATGAGTCAAGACACCCGTCGTTTGGTCCGCATTCCCGAGGAGGTCAAGGCTGAGTACCTACAGTACTGCTTTCCTCACAGACATGCCATCAAGGACAAGAGTGCAAGTGGAAGGAAGATCGAACGCTTGGAAGATCCTCCAGAGTTTGCAAGGGCTGGGTTGCAGGTCCGACGAAGCGATCTTGATATGAACCAACATGTCAACAATGTCACGTATGTTGGGTGGATGATTGAGAGTATCCCATTGGAGGTCCTGGACAACTTTGAGCTGCTTAATCTCACTCTGGACTATCGGTGTGAGTCAGTTGGCGATGATGTGATCGAGTCACTGACAAGCCTAGAGGTGGCTAGTCCGGATTGTCCTTTAGCACAGAATGAGGTACTAGATAGCCATCTGGCGTGGTTGTACACTTCATCGCCATCGATATCCTCCAATCAAATATCATGTCAGAATCACCTTGGCAAGGCACCAATGGATAGAACAGGTTTATTTGGAAGCGGTAGCCAGACGAGCAGTAGACAGAGTCACCAAACTTCTGTTTCATCGATGAACACTGATGCAAGTGGTAATCCCCAACTGTCTATAAGTGGGCAGGATGGAGCAAGGCCCAACAACCATCATCGGACTGTGGCAGGCAAACATTGGAACGGGGGTCTTGAGGACAAAGGAAGAACTCTGCAATTCCTTCATTTGTTAAGGTTGCAGAATGATGGGAAAGAACTCGTACGTGGACGAACCCTGTGGCAAAAGCGCAAAGACATTTGATTGTCTGTTGGCTAGCAAAGTGAGCACAGCAGTTGTCCACGGTGGGTGATAATAGCAAGAGATGTTGGCCACCATGCAAACATGTTAGTTATCTTTGCCAGTGGAATGGTGGGGAAGTGAAATTGAAAGGTTGCCGACTCGATGTTGTTTTTGGCACACTGTGGTGACATACAGATTGGAAACTTGAATTCCATTGTGAGGATGGCAGGCTGACACTAGTAGGCGCTTCCTTCTGTGAGTTTTGTCACTTCCTTCTTGACAAGACAGAATAAAGTTTGGAGCGTAGGTGACGGGCGATCTACCAGCCATTATATGGATGGGCTACTTGGCCATGTCAGTAAGCCATTCTCATTCTGTGAGGTTCATGTCAGAAGGCTAGGGTGATTTCCACGTGTCGATTGTTCAGATGGTCCATTACAGTTAATAAAGTGAGTTTGGTGGGAACACTGCATCACGTTCACCGGAAGAAGATTTGATTTGATGTCATTTGATTTAAGTTTACTGATTGGATTGATTGAAATGTAGTCTGTATCCGCTCAGGCAGGATTGAGGACCAAGGGAGTTGTGCGGAGGCCGGGGGGGGGGGGGGGGGGGGGGGGGGGGGGGGGGGGGGGGGGGGGGGGGGGGGGGGGGGGGGCGGTGTGAGTCTTGGAGAGGGAAGGAAGGTGTGGCTAAGTAACCCTTAACCCCCCTTAGTTGGAGTGGGAGGGTTCTGAGGAATGAGAGAAGGTGCTTGGGTGTTGCCTTTCTTTATTGCTTGGGTTGTCTCATGGCTGAAAGGCGCTTGAATGTTGTAATGCGCAGAGGGTCTTTTGGTCTGGAAAGGGTCGTCGCTATGTTCTCGCCTGTCAAAGTACTAGAAGGCCTCTGTGATTTTTGTTTTATTTTAAAGTTATTACCTTTTCTGAAATTAGACTCCTCTGAAAGCTCTCTGTTCCCAGGCTTGGATTTGGGTGGGTTGCTTTCAATGCCGTTAATTTCTTTGTTGGGTTGCTTTCCTATTCCCGAATGTCTTGAACTCCCATTTGCTTACAGTGCCTGGCGTGTTCTTCTGTCTATGGCATCAGTAAGCCTGCTTGCCATGTGTGCTTCAATTGCTTGTCATCTTAATCCTCTGGTTGCAATTATTAGCTACTAAAAACTACGAAGTTTATTGGCCGGGGGGAGTTGTGACTGCTTCTTAATTGTATGATCCTGGTATGGTCGGTGGAGATTCAGTCTAAAATCCTGTAGTCTGATGACACCTGGTGTTGCGAATTCCTGATGGGTGGATTCTGGGAAACCGTAGATGTGTGTGCAAGTGCAGCATGGATATGGAGCATGTGATAGCAAGTCTCTACTGTATAGTCTGATGACACCTGGTGTTGCGAATTCCTGATGGGTGGATTCTGGGAAACCGTAGATGTGTTTGCAAGTGCAGCATGGATATGGAGCATGTGATAGCAAGTCTCAGAGTCTAAAATGTGTCAGAGAGCGGGACAGTGTGCGGTCATTTTTTTTTAAATTAATTTTCTGGGACTCTCTGACGTCAGTTTAGGCCAAGGTTTTTTTTGTTCTTTTCATGTCGCTGTTGGGCCTCACTCCACTATCTGGACTGAGAGTTTGGACGGATCAACGTCTTGAATGTTTTGAGATCATTGCCAGCCCCAAATACATTTAGGAAGTTCTGCAGTCTAGGAAGGCCCATTTTCATATTTTCCCTTCCTGTTGTCTTTTTCGATGCATGACAGGACTCGATGCGAGCACGGAAGTTTCTTTTGGGGTTTCACTACTAGACACTTCACATGCATTTGGATGCTCTGTGAACCCGGTGCGTGTAGAATGTTTCTGTCACTTGAATGCACCTGGCTCAGAAAGCGACCAAATCCATGTAGTTTTGTGTAGTGGAGCGACGCCCTTGGTTTCATCTTGTTCCACGGTGGTGCACAACATGCACCAAAAATTCCGGACAATCCAGGGCATTGCAGGCAGCTTGGCCTTGGGCCAACCAAGACCACAGAAGAGGGAGGGAGATGGTCCAAGTCGTGGAGGAGGGAGACAAAAGGGAGATGCATGGACAACAGTGAGGGAGGAAGGATTGTGGAGCAGGGAAGGTTGAGGTGGCCAGTCCCGTGCTAAAATTAGCACGGTCCCATGCTATTTTTAGCGTGGGACTGACTGTTCGTCTACTGGGGGCTGACCCTTCGTGTCCCAAGACCGGGACTGGTGCTAAAATTAATTTTGACCTGGTCTAATTTTAGCACCGGCCTCGACCATGGGGCTGCCACATCCAGCGCCCGATCACCTGGCCTCTCCGCTATAAAGAAGCGGCCGTGTGACTAGAGAAGAGAGGGCACTCACTTGCTGGATGCGGAGATGCTGCTGCGCTGGAGTAGTCAGGAGAAGGAGCGAGGCCAAGGCAGGCAAGAAGGAGGTCAACGGGCCGGGCTGTTCAGAAAGCATGGCGGCCCTGGTTCCCACTAGGCCCATTTGCTCCCCTTCTTCCTCTGCTCTCTCGGCTCACCTTCTTCTTCTCCCTCTCCCTCCTCTGCTCACTCTCGTTCAACTAGCTGCCTGCTGCGCGAGCACCCATGCCCATGTTAACCGTATTTGAGGGTAGATGACACTGTGCACCCATGATGCTATGCTCCCGTTGTTCATTGTTCTTGAGGACAGAAGACACTGCACGTCCATGCTCCGTACTTGAGGGCTGTTGATACGATGCCCCAATTGCTTTATGACCGTGGGTTGTTCATGCCAAGCCCTGGTGCGCACAGTGTCAGAAAGCCTTTTACCCCGCCATACTACTTCTGAACCAGCGTGCCATGCCTCGCCGTGTCTAGGTCAAACTCACCAAGGGTACTTAATTATTGTAGCATTTGAACAGAGCATCATGATTGGCTGTGCCTTCGGGCACTCGAACAGATCCTTATGATTGTCTGTGCCAGCAGGCACTCGAACAGAACATTATGATTGTCTGTGCCCAGAGGTACTTGAAGTATGTCGATTTATTGTGCCAGAAGTCACTTATCTTCAGCATGTTGACTTGACTGTGCCCAAAGGCACTTAATTGAAGTATGCCAATTTACTGTACCAGAGAGGACTTATTTTGAGCATGTCGATTTCTGAGCAACCAGTGTGCCTGCGACTGTGTGCACTCAGTTTTAAGTGCGACACTGCGCAAATCATGACTTTTAATATGTGCGATTCCACATACTCGATATGTAAAGCTCTGCCATAGTGGTCTTGAGGGACTGTGACTGTGCGCACTCAGATTTAAGTGCAACACTGCGCGTCCAACCTGCAAATCACGACTTTTAATAAGTGTGGTTCTGCATATTCAATCTGAAAATCTTGCCTTGGTGATCTTGGGTATCTGCGACTGTGCGCACTTCAATTCAAGTGCGACATTGCGCTTTTGGACAGCAAAACTCGGCTTTAATATCTTGAGTTAACTGCGGTGCTGTGCCGCTAACCTGTAAACCCTGTCATGCCTTGCGCAGTCACATTTATCATGCCGACTGTGCCTGCGTAGTCATGTCATGTCTGAGGGCCATATCTGAACTGCGGGCCAGCGCGCACCATGTCTGAGGGCCATATCTGAGCTGTGCGCCAGCGCGCACCATGTCTGAGGGCCATATCTGAGCTGTGCCCCAGCGCGCACCATGTCTGAGGGCTATGTCTGAACTGAGCGTCAGTGTGCACCATGTCTGAGGGCCATATCTGAACTGAGCGTCAGTGCGCACCATGTCTGAGGGCCATATCTGAGCTGTGCGCCAGTGCGCTCCATGTCTGAGGGTCATATCTGAACTGTGCGCCAGCGCGCACCATGTCTGAAGGGTCGTATCTGTGAGCACTATGTATGAGGGTTGATTTTCGGGCCAGATGTTGTGCGCACATGCGCACTATAATTAAGGGCCGATTTTCGGGCCAGATGTTGTTGTGCGCACATGCGCACTATAATTAAGGGATGATTTTCGGGCCAGATGTTGTGCGCACATGCGCACTATAATTAAAGGCTGATTTTCGGACTAGATGTTGTGCGCACATGCGCACTATAACTGAGGGCTGATTTTGAACCAGTGCGCCAACAGGCACTCAGGTCTGAGAACCTTGCCCTTGACCAGCGTACTTTGACCATGAACCAATGCCAACAAACACTTGATCAGTGAACTCGGACTTGATGACTTTGAGTAAGTGCAACAGCGCGCACTCAACTTGTTGACTTTGCCTTCGAACGACGGGCATTGTTGAGTCTGAGCACTCCGCTGTTGACCTTGCTAATCATTGATTCAGAATCCTGCAGCGGACATTGCTGAGTTCTAGACCGAGCATCAGAACGCACTCCGCTGTTTGACTTTGTCAATTATGATTCTGTGTCCTGCAATAGATACTGATAATTGAGTGCGCGCCCTTGCGCGCCCAAGCTTTATTACTCGAGTGTGAGCCCAAGCTTGATGTTTGAGTGTGTGCGCTTGCGCGTCCAAGCTTGATTTTTGATATTTTTAGTGCGCGTCCGTGCTCGATATTGCTTTCTGAGTATGCGCTCGTGCGCGCCCGCAGCCGGTATTAATATTTGAGTGCGCACCCATACGCGCCCAAGCCGGGAATTGCTATTTGAGTGTGTGCCCATGCGCGCCCAAGCTTGGCATTGCTGTTAGAGTGCGCGCCCATGCGCGCCCAAGCTTGACATCGCTGTTAGAGTGCGCGCCCATATGCGCCCATGCTCGATACTGTCATTTGACCGCGCGCCAATGCGCGCTTGCGCTGGATATTGCTATTTGAGTGCGCGCCCATGGGCGCCCAAGCCTGGAACTTTATTAGAGTGCGCGCCCAGGCTTGATATTGTCATTTGAGTGCGCGCCCATGCGCACCCAATCCTAGGATTGCTTTTAGAGTGCGCGCCCTTATGAGATGATGACCTCAGAGCGAGTACTATGCTAGCATGATCCAGTTGGGATGATTTGCCATCACGCTCCCCTCGATTTATTTCCTTGCTGATCAGCACCACCCCATGCACATGATACCTTCCCGCACGGGGAGCATTTGGAGTTCAGTCCTTGCACAGACGACTTGGTACAGTCCAGCCCCAGTACATTCAACATTTATGACTGGTCCATGTGCGTGAGATGTCTTGCTGATCAGTTCAGCCGAGCCCCTTCAGGCGGGTCTACTCCTTGAAATTGTTGCTGTTCAGTCGGGCCCCTTCAGGCGGGCCTACTCCTTGAGATTGTTGCTGTTGAGCCGGGCCCCTTCAGGCAGGCCTACTCCTTGAGACTGTTGCTGTTCAGCCGGACCCCTTCAGGCGGACCTACTCCTTGAGACTATTGCTGTTCAGCCGAGCCCCTTTAGGTGGGCCCATTTCCTTGAGGTTGTTTGTTCAGCCAAGCCCACTCAGGCGGGCATTTACATTGAGTTGCTACTACCATCCGACCAGTTCTTGGAGGGAGCATCCGCACTAGTGAGAGTGCGCCTTCTGTCCAAGCTGGCCCGCCATCGTGAGACTGCCCCTACGTGGGGTAGACTAATTGAGAGGTTCTGCTACCGACATGTGGGACATCAGAGCTTTGTTGTCAGAGCCAATGAGTCCCCAACTTCGAGACACACATTGGTGATTACCTACTCAATAAAGGGGGCAGAGAAGGGGGTGAAGGGCACCACGCATGACAGGATTGCGGACTACATATTTCGCAGGGAGAGCTATTGGAGGGACAATTGGCCACATGTGGTGTTTCCTCGCGTACCTTCAGCACCTGGGGGTGTACTCTTCGACTTTGATGGGTGTAACCCCAAACCTCTCAGCGAGTCTCGCAGCAAGGGGAAGAGGCGGAAAGATGAGCGGATCAGGAGAGAGACAGCCAGATCCGGGGTCCCAATCACTACTTGCGTACAGAGATCCGAGATGGATGAGTTCGACCAGGGGCCCTGCTGCGTGAGTGACATTGATCTTGGCGACTACTTCGACTGGAACCCTCGTAGAGGCTGAGTCTGTGGACAGTAGCAGGAGCGCTGGAGACCGGTAAGCGGCGACGGCGGAGAGCGACATTGAGGAGGATTGCGTATCTTTTTGCACGGTATCTGCTCGAGGGCGATTGACTCCTACATATCAGACGACCCTAGGACCGAGACAGTTGCTGGTCCCCCAAGAGGGGAAGGTCCAGTCCCATATCTCGGAGATGGCTATAGTCATTTGGTCTGGGCTGACTTTGCTATGTAGGCTTTTCGGAAACCTTTTTACGGAGATCGCTT